CTTTGCCTTGAGAAAGCAGAGTTCAGGTACCTATTTGTGTCTTTATTGTGATCTTGACAAGTGTCAGGATCTACCTGCAAAAGAGTACTTTCCCACGTTACAGGCTATCAGTAGAGTCTAAGCTCTGCAGAATGCAAGGGAACTAAATACAGGGCAAGCAAAGGTATCTATTAAAAAAGATCAATTTATCTGGTTGCTTTGAGAAAAACGCAGATGAAAAAGAAAGTTGGTGAGCAGGAGGGTGGAGAAATGGCTGAATGTGAGTTTGGACTGCAGAAACAATAGAGCAAATGGCAGAGATGGAAAATCTCAGGCAGAGAGAAAAAAGACAGGTGTAAAGTTCTGAAAATGTGTAAACAGTGAATATCCTCAAATATTAGGGAAAAAAGGGAAAGAAGAAAGGGAAAATTCAGAAAGAAGAAACCAGTATAGACCACCTTATTAAAATTGTTTCATTCTGGAGCAGCTGGGTTAAAGCATCTTGATCCTGACAGAGCTGATGCACCCACTTTGCCCCATGAGATCCACTCTTCAATCATTTGTCAAATTGCTAGGCTGACTGTGCTCCAAAACCTAAATTTACCTGGAGAGAGATGGTCCCCTGTCACTACCACCGGCTTCCTCTGATGCATCTGAGCCCTGGTTGCTTCTAAAGTGGGGGTGAAACAGTGTCCTGAGACCCTGAGAAGCTGAAGACTTGCAAACTATTTTTTACCTCTGCTCCCAGAAGCTTTCCGGGTATGCCATACAGCTAGGTCTGCATTCAAAAGGCAAAGGGAGCTCAAAATATATTTGGTTGTTAGTGGTGCCATCTCCCTCCATAACTAAATGTTTCTTTTGCTTTGGTATAACAGGATGGCTACAGAAGAATCTTATCTATTCCCTTTCAAAACTTGAATGACAGAAATATATGGAGGAATGTCTTATTAGAGACCCTTGTCAGACTGCTCAAGGGACAGTGAGATTAATGGTGAGATCTTCTGAAGGAGGAACAGAGATGTGGACAAGATAAGGATGAGTAAAATAGTAGTCTAGACTTCTCTCAAACTTCACACTTGCCAAGAAATTCAGGGAAAAGAAGGTTAGAATTTTTTCTCATTACTACAAAGAGTCTCATAGCCAGTGGCTACTTTAGGGCAATTATTTTTCTCCATTTATTCCCATTTCACATTTCATAGTGTATCTCACTCAGTAAAAAGATAAAATACACAAAGATACCACATACAAAAACATTTTTATTATTGTTATAATTCTCTGTTTAATGCAATGCTTTAACTAGGAATACAACTCAGAAGAAGTACATACACATATATTGCATGTAATTTTAGTTGTCTCTTCAAAATATTTCAAACCCTCATCATGTCATTCTTTCCAGCTTGTTTTGGTGAAACACCTTCTTTCTTCATCCTGCATAACAAATTTTTGTGCTGCTGAATAACACAGACGTTTTTCTTCCAAGTGGAGCACAACATTACATCCAAATTCCCAGTTAATACAACTTTATCAAACTTCACCTCTACTGTATGAATGTTGTGTATAATATGTGTATATCTATACAGCATATATAAATATATATCTATAATGTATATATAATCAAGTGGGTCAGCCTTACACAGCTAACCATAAACTTGTGCTTATCTTATTTATATGAGATCAAATGGACGGCATCAAGAATTTGACCAGTCCCCAACTTGTAAGATCCTCAGTTCCCAGTTTTACCACATGATTTTGGATATCACATACAGGTAATGCATTCCCTTCTTTCTTGCAGTAGTATTTTCTTTTGAAGAAAAGAATGCAGGGGTTTATATATAAACAATTAACAGATTTTTCATACCCTTAAGTTAAAAAAGGTCTCAAGAAGAGATGAGGTTCTTTCCTCATATATAGAGCTTGAAGAGTAATTTGACATTCATTGTAGATATATTTACAGTATAACTTTATCTGGATAGTATTACATATAATGTATTATTTTGTACACAGTCAGGATATGGTGTTGCTCATGTTAAAACACACTATCTAAAGGTATTTACAAATTACTAGTCTTTACCTTTACCAACCACCTCTGCAAAGTGGCAGATAAGAGATAAGATATAAGAACGTCTGTTGATTGGCAACCATGGTACTCTCACCAGTGTTTTTATTATTATTAATACCACTACTATCATGAAAGAAAGAAGGTTTTTTATTATTATTAATATCACTACTACCATGAGGTGCTTCAGGGAAGAGCTGTCTTTGGCTAGAGGTGTAGAGACAGAGCCTCTAGTGGGGGTAGAAATCCCTACCTCCTCCCTGAAGGCTACACATGAGCTGGTGGGTGCAGAAAACCAATCCACCTGTGACTTCCTTCTCCCTTTGCAAGTAAGGGCACACCAAGAGTGTCCCCCTGTGCTTTCCTCAGTGCTGTCAGATGAGTCAGTCTAGACATTAAACACTCAGTGAAATCCTTCCAATGGCCACTGTAACATGGGCTGCAATCACACTGCCTGATGTACCACACAGAGATGCTTCTTCCAGAGAGTCAGAGCACTTTGGGACATCTCTTAGAAAATAGTTTCTGTGTACTTCTTGGCAAGTATGATTGAAAAAAAAAAAAATTAAAAGAGTAGTTATCAAATAGCACTTTTTCAGGTAATGCAGAGCTTGGGAAGGCACCAGAATTTATTTCCCTTTATTTGAATAATACTAGAATGAAACTTGTGTAGCAAATCTACCCAGTATCCTGAACTATGAGGCCTGGGAGGACTGATACACTCATGTAACCCACTGGTTCCACAGTGTAGCAAAAGAGGCCAAAGCAAAAGGAGGGAAGTAAAAATATAGCAGAAATAATTGCATTGGTTGTGATAAATGATTCATGTTCAACTCAGCCTTGCTATAATTACACTCTTAGGCTTGGATTGTCAGTAAATGCTAGTAAGCTCAGGAATGAAAGGGAATTCAAGGGAAGGGAGTGCTGCCTTACCATTGCACAGAGCATAAAATTAATCTGTGCATGTTGCTGCATGATATTCCACTACAAGAATATTCACTCTTTGACATTATCCACTGCTGTTTCTAATAAAGAGATGACAACAGTGGGAAACAAAACAATTGTTTTGGCTTTGTTTCATATGAGGGTTTGTTTTACTTCCAATTTAAAACCCATGCAGAAAGGATTTATGGAACTTCCCACTTCACACAGTAGGTTGGGCTTCAGCGGAAGGGGATTTGCATGCTAGAGAAAGCAGTATTTTGGTGGGGTTAAAGAGGTTGAATACCAGCATTCACAGTGCCTAAAAGACAAGGGAAACTGCATGCCTGTAGCTAAAACACAGGTGACATACTTGTTAAAGTGAAGAAAGAGAAAAGCTTTTTGTCAAGACTGTGACAAAAGACGAAAGATAGGCAGAGAAAAGAAGCCACAACAAATCAAAGAGAATCTCTCAGCTTCCTTCAAGGAAAGATTTTCTATAAGTTTTTAGAAAAAAAGGGATTTAAAAGTCTAGAGCTTATCATGATATACAAAACCAGTAAAACAGTAAAAGCAATACTGGATAGAAATCATTCTCATAATATGAGTCTCTAGGCACTGTAGATAGACCCAGGGTGAAAGAAAAGTTAGCTTCTTTTTAGCTTCTCAATTTCTACCACTTGCACTGCTGTCAGCTGAGAGTACAGAACCATCTAAGAGAGCTTTAAAAATATCAAAGGCTGTTAAACTCCAAACTCATTATCTGTCAGCAATCGCCCCCCAGCAACAGCGCCAGCATTTTTTTCCTGCATTTTCTTTCTTAAGACTGTATCTTCTCACAAGAAACACACAAATTTGTCAAAAAATTAAGATTTTTAGGAATTGTTTTAAGAGGCGGGAGGAAAAACATCATCATCACTCTTTCCCCCCCCCCCATCCTCCAGCTGCATTCATGCCAGATTTGCAGGAGGAAGGTTGTCAGGATGCTTTACCTATTTGGTCCTGCTAGGCTGGTACCGTGAGTAGTTTTGGGAAACAGAAGTGGCAAGGAGAAGTGCTGTCAATTGAAGTGAAAAATTCAAAGTGTACCCCCTCAGCACCACAGGAGAAAATGGAAATGGTATAACAAGGCAACATTCATCCATAGAAATTACTCGTCCATGGGAATGAAGAACAGGGATCAAAATCAGTCAAAACTGGGGAAGAGGGCAATGAGTTTACTAACAAGGCCCACTGCAAAGCAGACAGATGGACACATTCAAATCCATAAAGAGATAAAACCAAAAAAATGTCCCTCCCCTCCTTCTCCTATCCCATATGGGATGGCCAGGAGTAGCTAGGCCATCCAAAGTGTTTCTTCACTGTGTGTGGGCTGGTTTCACCACAGACACGCTTAATAAAGGCACCTCTTCTTGTCAATATGTTTTCCTCCACCATAAGAGTATAAAACAAAGGGCTGATAGATTTAGCACTTGCTTTTGTCCCCTTCATGCTTTGTGAGTGCCAAACAACAGATCCCTGGGGTCCATTTGAGCACTCTCATCCCCATGAGCATTTGTAAGACAAAAAAGAAAGAAAGAATGAATGAAAGAAAAAGCATTCTGACCTGTATAGATATGTTGCATTTGGACTATTTTTCATCAGGCAACATTGAAATACTTTGCTACCTTTGAATGGATCCTATGATTCCTAGTAAATCAAATGAAAAATCCCAAACAGAAAGAACACTGACAAAAAATTTTTCTTAGATTTGTTCTCACTGGAAAACAGATTTTTGATACTTCAGTTTTCTTTCCTTTCTTTCTTTCTTTTTCTTTCTTTCTCTTTCTTTCTTTCTCTTTCTTTTTCTTTTTCTTTCTTTCTTTTTCTTTCTCTTTCTTTTTCTTTCTCTTTCTTTCTTTCTCTTTCTTTTTCTTTCTCTTTCTTTCTTTCTCTTTTTCTTTCTTTCTCTTTCTTTTTCTTTCTTTCTCTTTCTTTCTCTTTCTTTCTTTCTCTTTCTTTTTCTTTCTTTCTTTCTTTTTTTCTTTTTTTTCTTTTCTTTCCTTTCTTTTCTTTCCTTTCTTTCCTTCTTTTCCACTGGACTGACATCTTCAGGCTGCTGTTCTCCTTCTGGAGAGTGAAGGTAGGGCTGGCCTGTGACAGTAAAAGCCACTATCCATGTGTTGCCAATCAGATCCTGCTGCAGCAGGGCTGATATCAGGGGTTGATTGGAACTTTTCAGTCTTGACCTCTTTCTGGAAATAGCAAAGAGGAAAAAAAAAGAGGGGGCAAGAAGCACTAACTGCATGTTTTTTGTTGGTGGTTGTCTTTTTGTGGCAGGTGTTTTGTTTGTTTGGTTGGTTGGTTGTTTTTTTTTCTCTTGAAACAAGTGCACAGTTTGCTTAATTTCTATGTGAAACAAAAGTAACCAGTGCAGCACATGGTGTGGATGTGCCACTGAAATGTTCTGGCCAAACCCAAGGTGAAGATGTGGCAGTTCCTGAAGCAGGGCACCTGGGGCCAATGGTGTGCAGGTGACAGCCAGGGAAGCTGGAGGGGTTACCCAGGGAGAGCTGCTCTTCAAGACCGACATCTAGATCTCGCAGAACTATCACTCAGAAGGGAAGCGAAACCTGGTGAACGTGGTTTGGACACAAAGGAAAGACATGAGAGCTTAAAGGATATTGAAAAGAACAAATTATTTTGTGGCTCTGAACGGTTATCACATTTTTATCTTAAGTGAGCCACAACCAGATGAAGATTCCAGAGGTTCCAAGTATCTCAGGGCATACTCTGCCTCTTCTCTGCCTTCAGGAGGGGGTAGACAGTGTAATACGTGCTGGCTCTGCACCTCCCATCAGCTGGCAGTGAGCACACAAACAAGATCCCATGCAATAGTTTGAATATTAGATGATATTTTCCATGTATATCAATTAAGTTGTGGTGTGTGCTTGCATGCCTGTGCATACATACATAGGTGTATTCTGCCATCTATTTTTACATTGTTTAGTTGTCTGCAAATGTGGGTGTGCCATGAAACAGTTACAAGGTGGAAACACAGAGGATTGTGTGTCCTGCAAGTTTTTAAATATACTATAATACAAATCAAAGCATTTTGTCTTTTAGGTTTAAAAGTGGGTGTCATGCTAAATAAAAGTGTCAGAAAGCTTCAGACTGATGGGTTTCATTTGCTTGTTTGTTTAACAAATTCTAGCCCCAAAATATTTTTTTTCCTGTGGTATTGCATGTCATCACATGATGAAATATAATTGTAATGTTTATCTTGAACTTCTTAACCTGTAGAGGTGTCCTTAGCTGCTAGATTAATTAATTGTGAGCAAGTGACAGCTTCAAATGGGAGAAATAACGATTTGCACACCTGCTGGCAAAATGGAGTTAAAAGATTAAATAAGGCTATACAAAGAAATATTTCCCAATTTGAGTTCCCATACTGTTGACATGCACAGCTCTTGCTGAAAGAAAGAAGGAGGTGTGTTTCTTTTAGGAAACTTTTCTAAAGAAGTCAGATTTAGAAATTAAACAGATTTCATTGTATCTTTGTTTTTTTTTTTTTTTTTTATTTGGATTTTTTAACATTGTAAAAGAATTAATAACCTAGAAATGATAGTTTAAGTCTTTCCTTTGTCCTACTCAAGATAAACCTAGTGAATGTAGTTCTGAAAGGCAGCAGCAAGCTTTGTCATTGAGTTATTCTTCCTTACAAACAGGACAATGAAAATAGTGATAGTAAATATGACTCAAGGCAAGTGAAGGTTGCAAAATTAGATCCTTGGCTGTATGGAGACCCTTAGTTATACTAGGATGAAATCACTAGAGGTATAAAATCAATAATGGCATACTAAGACACATTAATCCTGAGTTTATCGTGGCCTTAATTTACTGCAGTTTAATCCTCCTCATTCTCACTTTCTGCTGGGAACTTGTACTACGAAACATGAAAATTGTCATATTGCCAAAGTGCTTTGACACTGTGTTCCAATAAGCTTGTCAAACGTAAAACTTAAATCTGCAAGATTAATATCTCTGTAATCTCGGAGGTTGCTGTTTTGAAATGCATTTTGGAAGACTTTAATGTGGTAGCATGGAATAACAGAATGATTTGGTGCCCTATTCGGTGGGTGGCTTTCACTGGAGAAGACAGACTCTCAGGACACTGTCTATGCTTTTTTGAGTAATGAAATCTGTAAATATGTTTTCACTAGTGCCTGGAAGTTTGTTACTAAGAAGGAGGTAATATGCATAACTCACAGACAATTGCTGTTTTCAGTAGTCTGATACCCTTTGACCTGTCCACACAGTACTCAATTGTGCTACAGTAAATATCAAATATTGAAATAGTAAATTCTTTGTCAGGCAGAAAGAATCTAAATTTGAGCTGGTGTGGAGTAGCAGAAAATACTTGAACTCAACCACTGCCAGACTCCCATTCAGACTATTTCAGTATCTGGTTTGGTGTAATCACTGTTTTTCTCTCCGCCTTTTTATTAATAATATCCCTCAGCTTACAGTTAAAATATTGCTCCCAGCTGGTACAAAAGGTAATTTAGACAACATCTTTTCCAGAAGGTAAACATCTTCTCCAGGATACTTTCAGAAAGCATCCTAGTCTCACACTAAGCTCTTAGGCAGAACTTGGACTTGGACCCACATATACTTGTGGGTATATATCACTCTTTTTATTTTCCTCAATAAATTCATCATAATCATCTTTTGATGAGTCAAGAGCATGTTCATCTAATATTAACTATTCGTTCTGTGAAGCCTTAACATACCTCTTAATGGATACATCTTACTTTAAAAGGATGTAACCTTCATTTTCCTAGTAACAACCTCATTTCTGTTCTTCAGCTGAGACCCTTTGTCTGACCACTGTTGTGGCTGACTGGATGAGACCTTTGAATTTACAACTTTTGATATTCAGTCTTTGTGCCCTGGACAAGTATGCTACAAACAGGAAGAAAAGGTTGATGGAGGTAAAAGACAAATCCACAGTTTGATATTATATGACAAACAAAGTGAACAAAATTGTCTCAAAAGCTTTGGTTTACATGGATGCTGAAGTAGTCTTGGGATGCAGCAATCAGGAGGAGACCACATCTTTTCATTTTGATCTTGACATGATGAAGTAGTCACAGAACAAAAGCCTGTAGAATGGGACAAGCTGCAGACTTCGAATGATATACAAGTTAGGCAATGATTACGTGTTGAACATAAGTACACTTGCAGAATTGGTGCAGTTTTGGAAATGGTGGCGTCACAAACAACATAACTTTCATCACGATGTACCCAAATCAAGCTTCTTACATGACAGTGGCAAAAAACAGTTAGACAACTTCAAACTTTAGAAAATTTCTGCCATGATGCCTTTGGATTATGCAATGATCTTTATATATTCCAATGCCACTTCCACACAGTTATTAAAATTCCTCTTTTTTTTTTCTTTTTTTTTTCCCCCCAGATGAAGATGTGTTAAACAGACACAGGAAAAAAAAATTGTAAAAGAAGGAAAAATGAAGAACAACTATTTTACACAGAATGACCAAAAATCATAGACTCTAAAGCCCTTCTGCAGAATATTCTCAGAAAATAAGGAACTGTGCCTCCAGTTCACATCCTTGAATAATTTCTCAAACATCTCCATGTCCTAGAGATTTGTTTTCAATTATTAAAAAAATGTTTTTAAATGTAGTTCTCAGGGGTACAGCTGATGCCCCTTGTCAGTATTTCCACAAAAACATCCTGGATTGCACATTCCATAGAAGAGCATAAAGTGCTATAGCATCGTGGGTTTTTTAACTTAATTTGGAACTTCTTCACCCTTTCCATAATTATTTTTATTCTTATTTTTACCTTGTAGCTCCTATATTTTTGTAATGACACATTAGGAGGTGCTTAAAGGTCTTCTTGAAGGTAGCATTGCAGAGAGCGTAACAAGCAGGGTTGATGGTGCTGTTGATGTAACAAAGCCAGTAGCCTATGGTCCATACAGTGTTAGGGATGCAGGATGTGCAGAAGCTGTTGATGAGCACCATCACATTGTATGGGGTCCAGGTGATGATGAAGGCCAGAAGGATGGCTAAAATAGTCCTGGTCACTTTTTTCTCTCTAGAGGGGGGTGGTTTCTTTTTGGCTGGCTGCTTTGTCATCTTGACTATTTTCCGGGCTACACTGTTCTGCTTCTCCTCCCCATTCGTGCCTACGATCTCCACGGTGGTGTTGGTAGGGGTGCAGCAGTCTCCCTTTTGGGACTTGGTGACTATCCTGATGCACGTCAGCTTGGAGTTCTCCACTTTGAGATGGTCTTGGGAGGCAGAAGCCTGTCTGGCATCTTTGGTAGCTTCGTCCTCTTTCAAGTTGGAAGCGACCACACTGACAGAGGTGGACTCGTTGGAGCTCTCTTTCTCCGCTTGAACACAGTTATCAGTTACAGTCTCCTCACTGGTTTTTCCATTTTGAATTTTGCTGTGCTCCAACCCATCTCCACTGGTCGGGATGTTGTTATTGTTTGGTTTCACTATTTTACCTTGGACAAGGCTGGGGGAAACTGTATCTTGGTTTTGGGCAGCTTCCTTTTTCCCCTTCTTTATCCTACTCTTACTGGCTCGAGAGATTTGCCAGTAAAGGACAGTCATGATGATAACGGGCAAATAGAAGGCTGCGATGGCAGTACCAAAAGTGACAGCAGGGTTGGAAAAAAACTGGATGTAGCAGTCCCCATCTGGGACAGTCCTTCCTCCCACAATGAATTGCCAGAAGAGAATTGCAGGGGCCCACAGGATGAAGGACAGGACCCAGGCAGCTGCAATCATCATTCCCGCCATCTTAGTGGTCCGCTTCACAGGATATGTCAGAGGCTTGGTAACACAAAAGTATCTGTCAAAGCTGATTATGAGGAGGTTCATTACAGAGGCATTGCTGACCACGTAGTCGAGAGCCAGCCAGAGGTCACACACCACAGGCCCCAAGGGCCAGTAGCCTATCACAGTGTAGAGGGTGTACAGGTTCATTGAAAAGATGCCGATGATCAAGTCAGCGCAGGCCAAGCTGAACAGGAAATAGTTGTTCACAGTCTGGAGGTGCCTGTTGACTTTGATCGACACCATGACCAGGATGTTCCCAATTATGGTGACCAGACTGAGAGACCCCGCCACCAGGACGATGAAGACCACCTCAACAGTTTTATAGGGGCTCTCCAAAGCCATCACATTTTCAGTGGAAGAGTTTATGTACGTTGAGTTATTCATTTCTGTTCTGCTAACAAGATAGCCAGTTACCACTTAAACCTGCAGAGAAAGAAAAGAAAACAGTTACCATCAGGAAATTAGTCTCTTTGCCTTTAAGAAATGGATCCCAGAAAAACCATTTGGAAAGAGTTTAAAGGTAGAAAATGTGTTCAGAAAAGCCAGTCAGCTTTGGTTAATGAAAATACCTTACAACATATAATATTCGTTTATGAATCACATAACAATAAGCTGCCTCTAAATAGGTAAGTAAGGCATACATTTGAAGCCAAATCTACATTTTTAGGTTCCCAGATGATTTCTTTTTTTTTTCTCTTTGTCCTTTTTTAAAGCTAATATTGACTTGAATATTTTGGAACCGAATCTGCATATTGTTTTCCTTCTTACTGAAAAAATAATGCACTGTTTGTTTCAAACCCTAATCCAAATAAAAAAGTCCAGACCTGAGGGTATGACATTCTTATAAGCCAGAGTAATGCTGTGATTTACTGGGAGCCAGATCACAAGAAGGCAACTTCTGTTTCTATCTTTCCTTCATTTTCCACTTGGGCATGCTTCTGTGAGATTTATGGAACAAGCAAGTTTGTTTCATGTTTCCCCCTAATTTTCTTACCCTGCAGTTCCTTTTTTTTTGTCAAAACATACGAAGATTTTGGCCCTGCATGAAACTAATTAATCTGTCAATAAACAAAAAAAAGGTAGGCCTGTTGAAGTCAACAAAATAAGTAAACTCACCTCAGTTGATCATCTGGCTATCTAGTTAAATGCATACTTTTTTATTTTTTTAAATTTCAGTGAGATTAAAGTAATTTTTACGTATTTTTGAGTATTTGTACCTGGAAAAGGCATTGTTGTTCGTTGATTTTTTTAAACCTGATGAGATTATGCTTGCTAGATGCTTGCTTGCTTGTATTTTTCTCAAATCACAATATTTTTAATCTGTATCACATAAAGCTACAACAAAAGGTCTATGGAAATGGATAGTGGGGTAATGATAAATAAAGAAAAAGATAAAAATAAGTTCTGTTTATACACAGCATTCTTTTTGTGTCCTGTATAGCCTACCAGCAGTACTCAATAAATTGTAATTAAACTACTAGCGATACACATTTGATAGAAGACTAAGAAAATAGCACATGCTTTTGCCTTCAGGATATGTACTATCCTTTTGTGCATCTCCTGGAAGTCAATAGAATGCACTAGAATTGTACAGCCCGTCTCTGAGTGCTCATTATTTATGAGCTGTGCTCGAGGGATTATTGAGGCATAAAGGCCAGATGTGGCAGAGAAGTTAGATTTTTTCTAATTACAATATTCTCCTTTTTTCCCCCCAACTATAAGGCACAACTTTTTTAAAAAAGAGCTTCTAGACGTGGTGGTGCAATCAAAGGAAGAAAAAAAAATCATTTAGGTTGGCTCCTTTAAATACCCATTGTTAAAGGATTCTCCTCTGGTCCCTCTGACTAACCTGCTGATGCACAGACATATGCAATCCATGTCACTCAAAAGGAGCAATGCGTTTTTACTGCCATTTCAGAACTGTGGTTTGGTTGTTTTAGTTGTTTTTTTTTTTTTTTTTCAGATGCAAAAGAAAGATGATGATGCAAAATGTCAGCATAGAGGTAAGAACCCTTCTACCTCCCAGAAAAATAAGCAAGTCTGGCTCCATGGAAAAGTCAAAATGCTCTACCAGGTTAAAGGTTTTCTGTCTGTAATCTTGTGGTTTATACATAAAGAAATACAACTGGCAGAATGTGGGATTCATTTGCCTTTGCTTTCAAAAACAGCTAATATTTGTTTGTCAATTCCATGTTGAAGTGAATACATGGATAAATGGAGGAACACAAGGCTACACAGACATTTTTTCCTGCTGTCTCTTCACAAGTATATCCCTAAAATCCTTGGGATCAGGGTCAAGAGGACAAAACAGGGAAGTAAGAATAAGCTGAATGGAGTGTAGAAAAATTTATACTCTGTGCAAAAAAATGTACAGGGTTCCTTTAATATACAGGACTGTCATTTCAGCACTTCACACTGTATTTTTCTCCCAAAGCTTCACAGCTGAGCAGCTGGTTGTCCTGTTAGATGTGTCAGATATCAATTTTTGGGACAAGCTAAGAACTTCTCCCAAGCAGATTTGTTTATGAACATTCTTAACAGAATGCATTTTTAATGAAGCACAGAGAAATGTACTGATTTTAAAAGAAAAAAGTGCAGCTGGAAAGCCTTTGTGATCCAGGGCTCTGCAGCTACCTCTGGTGACAGAGAATGAGTGGGGAAGCAAAATGGAAATAAGTGAGAGAGGATCAGAGCTGAAAAAATTGTGCTTTATGATAAGAAAACAAGTGTTTCTCTTCGATTTATTTTTGACAAAATGTTCTGAAGTTCATTTTATTCCACTGAAAAGCAATAATTTGTTTTAGAAAATTGAAACTTGTGAAACCAAATTATCGTCTCCCAGCTAACTTTATTGCTAGGTCTTTTCAGGTGAAATTTTTACCCACTTGCACTGGAAATATTGGTAATTCAGTAGAAGTTCTCCTGATTTTATTATCTGCGACGTGAGGAGTGGGATGAAAGCTAACGGCTAATTTGACTTGCTGGGAATAGGATTTCAGTGTGTTAATGTGAATGGAAGGAAAGCAGAGGAGTCCCTTTCCCTGTGATCTCTTGTGGCACAAACCTATCCTGCCATAAGAAGGCTGCTAGTTCTGGACTTCAAATTACTTTGATTGTTACAGATTTCTTAGGTATGGAAGAAAACATATTTGCTGTCGCTAACTCCAGTAAAAACTTCCTTTCCTTGCATCAGTATGACTGTAAAGTGACCCATGTTTTGCTGTGTATCTTGACGAGAAGACAAAGGGCTGGAAAGAAACATTCAGTTTCAACTGACATTTATTGTCGCTGCTGATAGTACTACCCTTATACGAGCAGAGACAGGGGTGTGCACGTTTCCTAACCCAAGACACCCTGAAATCTTCTCGTCCTTTTCCTGTCGGCTCCAGGAGAGTTTGAATCAGGCTCATAGAGAGGTTTCTGTTTCTTATTGTGGTCGTTTGCTGCCTTGGTAGAGGATTGGCTGTGGACTGCTTTTGTTTTTGTCATGCCACAGAGCCCATCTCTCCTGCTGGAGAGGCAGTTGTTATGGGAGCAGATGTTATTCATCAGGCAGGGCTACGGGGCAGAGGCATTTCAAGGTAATATGACCTCCTGCATGAGAAATACCAGATCTTATTCTTGAACAAACAGAGCTCTCCTCTGCAAGCCCATGGGTGTTTGTGTGAGTTGCACAATATGGCACTGACTCCCATGGGCTTCTATAATTTATCCTGATTTACTAAGTGCATTCTTGCTAAACAGAGAATACCCAGAAAAGGCAAGGAATGTTTCTTGTGACCTGAAAACCAACCAAGTTCATTTTCTGAAATATATTTCAAAATATATATATGACTCAGGCATTGGAACAGCCTGCCCAGAGAGGTGGTGGATTCACCATCCCTGGAAGTTTTTAAAAAGAGATTGGACATGGCCCTTAGCGCCATGATATAGTAATTAGAGTTGGATCAGGGGTTGGACTTGATGATCTTGGAGGTCTTTTCCAACCCAATCTATTCTATGATTCTATGATTCTATGATTCTATGACTCTATGGAATGGAAACACCGTAATCACCACGTGGAAAATGTTCAAAGCCAAGAAATCCACATATAAAGTAATTCATGTGCTTTGGAAATATTTCTAGTGCAGTTTTTTCTCCCTCTAAAGAATTCATAGTACTGAGAATCATTCCCATCTTTTGACTAGGCGATGGTTTGGGGCAGAACCACAGGGTTTGGTAGAGTATATGGCACATACACTGTTGGCCTGATGTGATCCCAGGTCTTTTTGCAGTGAGTACTTGACAGGAAGAAGCAGAGCACGTGTGTGTTGACTTGGATGCCCAATATCACCCATTAGGAGAAACCTAGTCCAGGCTGAGGCAGGCTGAAGTAAGTCTTCTCAGAGCATGCTGGCAGCCACTGTATGCCTTGTTTTCCTTCATTTACCTCCCTAGCAGTTGTGTGGAACAGAGGAACAGGTCTGATGAGTGAAGTCTTTAAGTTGGTTCACTGCAAAAGGGAACTGCTGTGAGTGTGAGGAAATAAAATGTTGTTATTGAGGGTGTTCATTCTAATGTGTTGCAGGTACTGAGGAGGAGGCCAGCGGAAATGGGAGGTCAAAGAGAAGGGACAAGGACTGCATATCACCCTTAGGATCATGATCTTCAAACAGCAGGTACTTAGGGATTGCATCCCGCTGGGTGTGCTTTCCACTTACCTTGACAGGATCAAATCTATTTGGTACAGGTGATTCTTATACGAATCATTGTAATTTTAAATTTAAAATATATCTCCAACATCTACCACAAAAGAGACTATAGAAATGTTGTGCATATTGAAAAAAGTGGCTGATACACCATGCCTGTCAAAGTTTGTTAGTCAAATCCTTCTTCTGTATTGTCCATATTGACAAGTTAAATTTGGTAAGGATTTAATGCCTTCTTTGAATTCTCTGGAATCATATGAAGGTCAAGACATGAAAGAGGCAACTAATGATCTGTACCTGAAAGTTATAAATGGGATTACCCAGGAATCTCTGCGTATTTCCACTCTGAGCACTTTTCAACATCCAACTCTCAAGTAAAAATAAGAAACACTTTAACTGCCCCTCTTTGATCTAGTTCCTCTTCAGCCCAAACCTGTGTAAAATGGATTTGATTTTTGCTCTAGCAATAGCAGATCTTTTTTCCTGAACTGATTTTTATCCTGAACTGCACTGGTTTTGATTCTAAATTTCTTCCTGCCACCATTTAAACCCACAGTGTGAAAGCAAAAAGAGGGAAACAAAATCCCTAAGCCTGTGAAAAATATCCTAAGTCCATTAGTCAGAATTTGTTATGGACTTTAAGAGAGAATATAGATATAATCTAGGCTTTTGGTAAAAATACATTTCAGAAAATTTCCAAACACCCAAAGACTAAAATCTTCACCACATGGATTA